ATTTTATTTTAATTTAGCTCGGCTAAGAGGTTAAATGAAAAACATTTCCAGCTTTATTGTGTCTTATTGGTTATTAATTGTGCTTCAATAGTCAACAGAACACAATATCCATCACAGCAATTACTGATTTAATCAAATTTCTTTTACCGTGAGTTAAAATCCACAGGGATATTGAGTTCTATCCTGTTTCATTCTGTTTTCCTTCCTCTTTGCTTTCCTTCATATCTAGAAAATCTGAGCTTGTCTTTCTTTTCCAATTCACCAAAGCAGAATTAAAATGTTGAACTTTTATTTTATTTTACTCCCAATTCTTTTGCAAGAAATGCTTCACAGTATTGCTTTGCTTATTCATAGACATACCTATAATATGCCTCATCACTGTACTAGCTGATTGTGTTTCCACTAGCACTTAAATGCTTATAAAATGCTAGTGTGTCATTGTCCTTTGTTGTAAGTGAACATGGTGTACAGGATCTCTGTATGGAATTCTTAGATTCTATCGCTTAAGGATCCTCAGTTTTGAGTCTTGTTTCCAGTATAAGAGAGGGGCAAGGTGCTTTCGTGCTCAAGTGAGCAATATGATGCTAAAAGACCTATACAGAGCTCTTTCAATGCCTACACAAGCATTGTTTGGCTACCTTATTTGTATTACTTCAGACTGTTTGTTTATTTAGCAACTATTTTATTTTATGAACCAAAGAGAAGCCAGTGTCTCTGCAGCCCCTTGCTGTCAGATCGCAGTGGGGCATAACATATTTAAAATCTTTTAGAAAACCCCTGATACTAAAGGATATTTAATGTGAGCCTGGCTAGCTTGATGGTGATGTTTGAGCAGCTGTATACCTGTGAGGTCAATCTGACTGCAGAATTGATAGCTTTTTCCTTGTGAAGGAGACTTCAGCTGGTAAAGAGAGTTAGGCGATGTGCTCCCCACTACTTCTATGACGCACTCAATGCAGCTCTAACACTGATGTATTCTCAGTCCTGGTTTCCAGTCCCTCCTCTACTTTTTTGTGTCCTTCAGATTGCACCTTAAATTTTGGCTTTTATGGCAGATTTGATGAGCATAACATACTGTGATAGACTTAAATTAGATCCTTTTCTAAAATGGTGATCATATTATACCTTATGGAGACTACCTTGAGGTCAACTATTCCCCATGCCCACATGAACATCCCAGTGAGGTTCTTTTTTTTATGCTTGGTTGTGAAAGGTCCTTCTATTTTTCCTTTGACCTTGCTAAAAGTTTAAAATTTCGTGTTTTTTCTCAGTTACGTTTAGTTCACATGTCACACTGAGCAAAGCAGAACCTCGGCAGTCCCTCTTTCTCTGCTGTCTCTGAACTACTTACTTTGATTCGTTTTAATGTCTTTTTCCAGTCTCCAGGTGGAATTTACAAATTTACTCCATTTAAACAAATAGTGGCTTTTGTAGGGTTAATCTATTACAATTCCAAAGAAAGAAACACATTATTATTGATCATCTTTAGTTTTCCTAATGCAGGTTGCATTTCTCTGATCTGGCACTCTGGTTCAGCAATATCTATAGCTGGGCATGATTTCAGTTAGCTGAATGTCCACTTATGAGTGTGGCCAAGTTTCCCACTCTCCATAAAATTTGTTTACAGCCACCAGTCCTGTTTCTGTGTTCTGTGCTATTATTTAGCTCTAATTTACCCCAAATGTCTTCTAAGAGCCCAATAAGCAGAGGAGGTGTTGGTAATGCTCCTAAACAATATTAACTTCCTGTGGTCCGGCAAATTCTCTGTATGGGCACTGATCAGGTCCCGAGGATGCTGGAATAGAGAAGTTTAACCTGTACTTCTTTGAAGATTTGTAAATAGTTTGGACCAGATTTTCAGTCAGGAATTCTTTATTCATGCAAATATTTATGAACAAATGTACATGCATGCAAAAATGACTGATTTGCACATCTGACAAAAAGGTGCCTAACTTTTTTGTGTGCAAATCCCCAATTAGTGCATGCCTAGCTATGCAAATAGATTACGTCTTTCTGTTTGAAAACCTGGTCCATTGTGTGACAATTTAAGAAAAAAATGTATTGTGTCTATGTAAGACTGACAGGCAGAACCAAACTTGGGACCTCTGGAGCTTAGTGCATGAGTCTTTACAGCTTAAGGCAAAAGTCCGCTGGCTCTCAGTTAAGGCTGTAGAGCACACTCATTGTTTCTCTCTGTAAGTGGTCTAAGTGCCATTAGGTGAACCACATCCAGTAGGCTTGTAGTTGCATCTACATATTTTCCAAACATGAGTATAGTTACCATCTTTACGTGTGTGTGTGTGTGTGTGTGTGTGTGTGTGTGTGTGTGTGTGTGTGCGCGCGCGCGCACACTTAAAAAATGATCATACTAAAACTAGCTGTGAAGGACGTGATCTCATGTTTTTTATCAATGCTAATTTAAAAAACATGCAGAACTGCTTAAAAATAATTGTGGGAGAAGTCTGCCACTAGGTGTAACAAACAATTGCCCACGCACTTCACTATTACATATTTGGATAACTGATTATTTGACGAGTAGCACGTCCATTGCAATACCAGATTACCTTTGGTGTCAATAATATAAATAGAAGAAGAATGAGGCAATTTAAACATTGTTTCCCCGCTTGGAAAACTCTTCTGTTTTCATCTACATGATCAGTGTATGTATGCAAGTGTATCCCTTTCATGTGAAACAGTCATCAAAATGAGATTTGTAGAAGGAATTATAGCTAACTAAAGTACTACATGAAATATTTTTCAGTTGAGGGTTCACGTCAGTATTAAGAACTTATTTCAGTTTGACACAAGTTAATGTCTTTTCTTTCCCTCTCTTGCCCCAACTGTCTCAAATGTTGGGTAGTCGTTCAGGGAAACATTAGATGTCAAATCCTAAATGGAGAAAAATGACTATCATGTTCTCCAGAAGATTGGTTATAACTGGAAAGTGAAACATTTGTGAAACCAATAAAGAGCCTAGAACATTGATAGACTATAGAATAAGGCTTGATTTGACCCAGGTGGAAATTTTTTTTAAAAAAAGTATTCTCTTCTGTTTGGGTCCTTATCCAATAGACTACAGTAGGGCTACTCAACTTTGGAAGCTCTGGGGGCCACAGTGATACTCGCAGCACATGACGAGGGCTGCAACTTAAGTGTGGTTGTATATAAATGCAAATATATATGCAAATGGCTTATTTCACACTGACAGGCATGAATACAATGCACTTCCCGCAATGTCCCCGCACTCCATGCACCTTCTCCCTGGAGGCTAGAAACGCCAACACACTATACCCATCTGTTCCAGCCAGCCTGTCTGCTTGTGTCCTTCAGTGTTCACCCTTCCTGGGAGACGCCTCGCCATTGTGCAGTGTAATCTCAGTGGAGGCCATGTTCAAAAGATCCCACACGTGGGTTGTGTGTTGAACACCACATAAGCCCAAACCGTACCGCAGGCTGCAAGCAAATGGGCCGTGTGTTGAGTAGTCATGGACTACAATAAAATCTTGCTCTACTATAGATCTTGAACTTCAACAAAAACTAGATTAATAGAACTCAAATCAGACTATTACAATTTGAATTAGTCTGTAAAACAGTTTTTGAAGAGAATAATTAAATCTGAATTATTTTCATATGAGCTGCAAAGAGGCTTGAATCCCACTATTAATGATGCTGAAGATAGATACTGACAAGTGAGAAATGGAAAACTCAGAGAAACAGATGCATATTTTATGACAGAAATAATTTTAAGGAAAGCTATATTGTTGTTAAACAGACACATACATAGATTTTTGTTTCAAGAAAACTTCTGAACATCCCTAATAACTTCATGATAATTGGAGCAGAAATCTGCATATATTCCTTCTCTGCATAGGCTTATTGGGTAGTCGAGTCAATACTCCACTAGTTGTTCCCCCCCCTCCCCTTGCTGCGTCGGAATCAGAGGCAGCAAGGTGGGAGAGCAGGAGCCGGTGCTGGATGGAGCTGTCTTAAAAGTTGGTTCCTCCCAGCACTGTCTCGGGGGGGAGGGGAAGGGTTGTGGGCAGGGGAGGCAGAAGCGCAGTGGGGAACCCAGGAAGAGTGGGGAGCCCATGGGCTCTTGCTACATTTCAAAAGCAGAAGTGCTGCAGTTCCCCACTGTGCCTCTGCCTTTGAAATGTCGGGACCGGTGAGACTCTTGCAACATTTCAAAGGCACAGGCACAGCGGGGAACTGAAGTGCTTCTGACTTTTGAAATGTAACAAGAACCCTGGTGAGTTCTTACTACTTTTAACAGGCAGAGGCACAGCATAGCCCCATCCTCCCTCTTATTAACTAATTGACTAGTCAATGAAAATTCCATCGACTACTCAATTAGTTATTAATCAAAATTTAACATCCCTACATGGAAACTCATGTCTAGACTGAACAGGACAGGTGGTGCTGGCTAAGGTCCTGTGAGGAGTATTCCTCCTTCATTGAATCTTTGTCGGCCCTAAGTGTTTCAGAAAGAGTGAAAAGTATTTTTCGTAAAAGGCCTGATCCAAAACACATTTAAGTCAATGGAAAATCTGCCATTTGATGCAGCTGGTTTTGGATTTGACCCCTTTATTTTGAATTGAGAAACATTAGATTGGTGATTGCTGCAAAGTTTAAACTTGGAGAAGGTGATAAGGAATATGTGAGGGTCAAAAATAAGTGTAGTAAACTAAGTAAAAAATAAGCCACTAACTCATAAGATACTGGAAGAACCTTCTTCCAAAGGAAAATTGTAAGGTATAGGATTCTGATGTTATTCAGAGCTCTCTTTTGCTGTTGAAAAGTTAATCTATCATTGCTCTAGCTAAGCACAAGGGCTGGGATAAATTGGTAGTAAGACACATATACAGATGTTAGTTTTAATTATAAATAATTTAGATTTACATTTTAAACTGTTTTTAAAATAATATCCTTCCTTTAATGTATGTTTCCTATTTTAAAGTATATATTTTTTAGACTTCACCAATTTCCTCCTCCCTCCCTAGTGTCTGAAGCTGAGATTTCTAAGGAGGCTGATGACATGGAAATGGAACGAGAGAAGTATGTTGAAGAACTGAGGAAAGCCCTGGTTTTGGGAGCTGGCCCAGCCAACATGTACAATTTCGATGTTTGTAAAGATGGAGAAAATGTGGAATGCTGTGATTTCTCATATGAAAAGAATCTGAAAGATGTTTCTGTAAGTATTTCTGTACAAGTGTGGTTAAAAATGTATCTAATTAAATACTTATGAAAAGGGATCTCTTGTTGAGAGCATTCCTCAATTTAATAAAATTCTCTTTAAAAATGGTCTTTGATAAGTTGGAAGAAAAATCTTGAATTAAATAAATATTGTCAGTATGGCCCAAAACATTGAAAAAATAGCTTTTACAAAACCTACAAACAAGAAATATTTCCAGGGCCTTGTAAAATTCCTTTTGAAAAATAATTGAGACCAATGTGGTGGCCTCTCCTTTATTGGACATCCCATTGGCTGCTGTTTAAGTTTTGAGTGTGCAACAGCTGTAGTATCAAAGCTCTATTTTGTCAATTTGATTGCTGTTTCCTTTGTCTGTGTTCCTCTAATAACTTCTTCTAAAAAGTTTAGTATTTATGTTTTCCATAAGGATAGGATAGGTTCAAATTGGTGTTATAGTCTGGTATTGTACTAAAATAATATACACGCTTTAGAGTTGGGAGTTACATTCCTTTTTCTATGGTACCCGTCCCATGGTCTATGTCTGATATGTAATTTGGCCAAAAGAAAACATAGACAATTCATGAAGTTTTTGGAGAATGTTGCGAATAACTTCTTGGTACAAGTGCTGAAGGAACCGATCGGGGGCCATGCGCAGCTTGACCTGCTTTTCACAAACAGGGAGGAACTAGTAGGGGAAGTAGAGGTGGGTGACAACCTGGGGAGCAGTGATCATGAGATGGTAGATTTCAGGATCCTGACCAAAGGAAGAAAGGAGAGTAGCAAAATATACACCCTGGACTTCAGAAGAGCAGACTTTGACTCCCTCAGGGTATGTCTACACTACAAAGTTAGTTCGAACTAACGGACGTTAGTTCGAACTAACTTTAATAGGTGCTACACTAGCGCTCCGCTAGTTCGAATTTGAATCGAACTAGCGGAGCGCTTAGTTCGAACTAGGTAAACCTCATTTTACGAGGACTAACGCCTAGTTCGAACTAGCTAGTTCGAACTAAGGGCTGTGTAGCCCTTTAGTTCGAACTAGGGGGAGGCTAAGGCTTCCCAGGTTTCCCTGGTGGCCACTCTGGCCAACACCAGGGAAACTCTATGCCCCCCTCCCGGCCCCGGACCCCTTAAAGGGGCACGGGCTGGCTACGGTGCCCGTGCCAGGTGCAAGCCTGCCAGCACCCAGCT